CGGGTCCGGGCTGGGGATTCGAACCCGCCACCTTAGGTGTACGTGGCTGGCGCCTTAGCCGGTTGAGCTATAGGCGCCGAGCCGAAGAAGACTATTTTAAGAGTGTAGCACTAGGGCAGTGCCTGTGGCTCAACAGGGTAGGGCACAGGTCCCCTATGCCGGAGGTTCAAACCCAGCCCCAGCCAAAAAAAAAAAGAGTGTAGCACTAATAGAAGTCCACCAAATATACATTTTGGCAAAAGGTCAATAAATTAAAGCCGATATTTATTTGAGAACAAAAATGAGTATCAACATCAAATAATTAATGTCATCTGGGATACAAGAATAAACCAGAAACCTGGTTCTGTGTACCCTCAATGTGTCCCCAACAATTAAAAAGAAAAAGAATAAACTAGAAATTATATTTAAAATATTAGTTGCTAATAAAAGTATGTACTGATTGCTATTCTATTATCAATTTTAGTAATAATTACATCTTAATACATGGACAACTATTAAATACTTTTTTAGCACTGCCAGCTGCTATTTTGCCCTTGTAGTCACTGATCTGTCCATAAGTGGTACCAAAAAGACGTCACTTGCACCTCAGATCAGTAGGGATGCGAGATGTTTGGGGTAATGTTTATCTAATACCTTTTCTTTTCTCTTTATTACAATGAATCAAAAACTGATCTATTGGGTGGTGCCTGTGGCTCAATGGGCAGGGCGCTGGCCCCATATACTGAAGGTGATGGGTTTGAACCGGCCAAACTGCAACAAAAACATAGCCGGGTATTGTGGTGGGCACCTGTAGTCCCAGCTACTGGAGAGGCTGAGGCAAGAGAATCACCTAAGCCCAGGAGTTGGAGGTTGCTATGAGCTGTGTGACGCCATGGCACTCTACTGCGAGTGATAAAGTAAACTATCTCTACAAAAAAAAAAAAAAAAGAAAAAACTGATTTATTATAGCCAGGCCCCGTAACCTGCCTGAAATCCTAGCACTCTGGGAGGTTGAGGTGCATGGGTTGCTTGAGTTCAGGAGTTGGAGACCAGCCTGAGCAAGAGTTGAGAGCCCATCTCTAAAAATAGCTGGGCACTGTGGCAGCAACTTAGTCCCAATTACTTGGGAGGCTGAGGCAAGAGGATCACTTGAGCCCAAGAGGTTGAGATTGCTGTGAGCTATGATGCCATAGCACTCTACCAAGGGTGAGAAGAATGAGGATCTGTCTCAAAAAAAAAAAAAAAAAACGAAAACTGATTTATTATAGATATACATGATTTTGGAGTTTTTCCTCTTGGCAAGATTCTGTGATGGCAAAATTGGCATTCTACTTTATGTGTATCCTCATAAAAAGAAAAGAATTCCCAAGTGATATTTTTTCTTGAATAATTCATGATCTACGTAGAATTTTAAAACTATAATTTAAGTAGACTTCTTAAAGATTATTTGTTTTAGATACTGATACATAAACAATTGTACAATGATTAAAATTATAATATAATCTCTATCATTCTAACTATTATTTTTATTTTTATTTTTTTGTAGAGACAGAGTCTTACTTTATCACCCTCAGTAGAGTGCTGTGGTGTCACAGCTCACAGCAACCTCCAACTCCTGGGCTTAGGCAATTCTCTTGCCTCAGCCTCCTGAGTAGCTGGGACT